TCATGATCCACACAATCGAAAGCCTTTGCATAGTCAATAAAGCACAAGTAAACATCTTTCTGGTAATCTCTGCTTCCAGCCAATGATATCTCTCATTCCACGGTGTCTTCTGAATCTGGCTTGAACCTCTGGAAGTTCTTGGTCAATGCATGCTTGCAGCCATTTCTCTACTACTTTTAGTTAAACTTTACTCGCGTGGGATATCAAAGAGATTGTCCAATGATTTCCGCATGATACCCAGCACAGTTCTCCTTAAAAATATGACAAAATTAGAGCATTTCCAGATAAACAGAAACTAAAGGAATTTGTAATAACCATACCAATTTTACAAAAAATACTAAAAGGTGTTCTTTGGACTGAGAACCAACATCAAACAACAACCTGAGATTAACACACACAACACCACCACCCAGAATTCAATCCAGATATAGTACTTAAAGGAAAACAAACACACAAGACTGAAAACAGGGAACCAGAAATACCAATGTATAATGAAATCAACTACAAAGCAAAAAGAGGGAATAATATACACAGAGAACTTACAAATGGCAAGAAAAATCAAGTAGATTTCAAGATAAAACAGACAGTTTTAAATAGGGGAAAATAAATAAAGTACTGGACAAACTCACAGAAAATTAATATACTTGTATATCAAACTACAAAAACAAACAGAACAGGAAAATCAGCAAGATTTAGTAAAAATCAACACAACAGAAATGAAAAGAAAAACGACAAACAAAATGACCACAGGGCAGAAAATTATACGGAACAAAGAAACCACCAGATGAACTTGGAATGCCAGGTTCATTATGATGAGTGAAATTAGTAAATCAAACGGGCAAATATTGTATGAGACCCACATTTGTAGTAAGAAAAGTTTTTCCTGATAAAAGAAACATTTTAGAATGGCTACGGCGGGGGTAGGGAGATTACTATTCAAAAGCTAGAGGACAGATACATTTTAACACAAGTACAGGGGTGACAGGGAAGGAAACATGCAAGAAGGAGGTTGGCAGAAGAATGACAAAGGTAGTGGGAGATACAGGGAGAAATTTAAGAGTCAAACCGAATAGAGGTAAATATTGTTAACTAATGGTATACGGAATAGATTGTAATCATTGTAATGAAGTCAAGTATATGATTCGCTGAATGTAAAATTGAAGATCTGCTCTGTAACCTTCACTCAATTCGCAACAAAAAATTTAAAAACAAAAGTTAACATTTTCTATACATAACTAAGAAGATAACTAAAGCCTCATAATTGGTACTGTCAACTACTGTGGCTCATCCATAGCATATATGTGTCATATGCCTGATATAAACAGTAGTTGTAGGGAACCTGCACACACAATTGTTGTTGCTACAAGGTGCCATTGAATTGGTTCTGACTCTAAGCAACCCTGTGCATAAGAGAACGAAAACACTGCTAGGTCCGTCCTGTGCCAGCCTCATAATTGTTGAAATGTTTGAGCTCATTGTTACTACTACTGTTATCAATCCATCTGGATGATGTTCTTCCCAATTTAAGCATGATATTCTTCTCAAGGGACTTGTCTACAGCTGTTGCTAGGTGCCGTTGAGTCCATTCCGACTCATAGCACCCTTACCTATGCACAATAGAGTAAAATACTGCCTAGTTCTGTGCCACCCAACTGTTACACTTGAGCCCACTGCTGCTGCCATTGTGCCAATCCATCTTGTTGTGGGTCTTCCTTGTTTTGGCTGAGCATCCACTTTACCATGCATAATGTCAGTCTCCGGGACTGGTTCCTCCAGATAACATGACTGGAGTATGCGAGATGAAATCTTGCTATGCTGGCTTCTAAGGAGCATTCTTTTCCAATACAGATTTGTTTATTCTCTGGCAGTCCAGGATACTCTGAATATTCTTCTCCAACACCATAACTTAAACACATTAATTTTTCTATGGCCTTCCTTATTCATTGTCCAACTTTCACATGCATGTGAGGCAACTGAAAATACCATGGCTTGGGTTGACTGACATCTCTGCTCTTGAATATTTTCATGACGTCTCTTGCAGCAGATCTGCCTAATACAATACTTAATGTGATCTCTTAATCTTTGACTGCTGCTTCCATGAGCACTGACTATGGATCCAAGTAAACAAAAGCCTTTGACAACCTCAATATTCTCTCCATTTATCAGGATGTATCTGGGTGAGTCATCAAAAATTATCCACACTCTGGCTATAGAATTTATTTTTATCAACTTTTAAAAAAGACAAATACATCACTTTTCAACATAATCCTCTTTTCAATACACCTTGTCCATCTGTAAACAAGCTTTTGTATTCCCTTATTAAAAAATGTTTTAGGCTGAGCTGCAAGCCACGAATGCACTGCTGTCTTCACTTCTTTACAGTGAATCTTCATCCTTGAAGAGCTGATGTCAGAAGACAAATGAAAGTCCAACGGAGCAAGATCAGGACTATAGGGGATGTCTAACACTTCAAAATGAAGTTTTTGCATAGTGTCAACAGTGTGGGCTAAGGTGTGTGGATGTACATTGTCATGTCAGATGAAAACCTTGGACAGCAGTGATGAAGACATATTTTGCTTCATATAATCCGGCTTCTTGGACTATGTGGCTCAGCATACAGACTAAGTAAGTATGGTGAAAGAATACAACCACAGAATTCTTCAATATAACAACCCAATACTTGGAATGTTTTCTTCAGTTCTTTAGCTAGAGAAATGATGTTGTCTAACTCCAGATCTTTGCACATTTCATTATAATATTTTACTTTGTCTTCTTGAACTGCCTTTGAAAATTTATGTTCAGTTCTGACTTCCTAATTTATGCCATTCACTTTAGCTTCTTTACACTCAAGAACATCTTCTGATGTCCCATTTTGGTCTCATCTTTCTATTTGAAAAGGTCTTTTAAATGACCTTTTGCTTTCTTCTTGATGTTCTTGGTGTCATTCCACAATTTTTCTGGTCTCCGGTCATTAGTGTCTAATGCATCGTATTTTTCTTGAGATGATTTCTAAATTCAGGTGGGAGATAAGGTCATATTTTGGTTCTCATGGACTTGTTTTCTTCAGTTTCAACCTGAACCTGCATATGAGCAATTGATGGTAAGCGCAACAGTCAGTACTTAGCCTGGGTTTGGCTGATGATATTGAGCTTTTTTACTATCTCTTCCCATATATATTGTCAATTTGATTCCTGTGTATCCATCTGTTGAGGTCCAAGTACAGTACCTTTTATGCTGTCAAAGAAGGTTACAATGAGTAAGTTCATTGGATGTGTAAAATTCTATCATGTGATCTCCTGTATCTATCACCAAGGCCAAATTCTGCAACTATTAGCTCTGGAGTGATGCTGCAGGGTAAGTACTGGACTGTTACCCACAACGTTGGTGGTTCAAGCCCACCAGTCACTCCCATGAAAACCTACACAGGATCACTATGAATCAGAACCGATTCAAACTGACTCACCAACTGTGAACAACCTTTCTCTTTTGTTTCCAGCTTTCACATTCCAATCACCATTAATTATCAATGCATCTTGATTGCATGTTTCATCAATTTTAGACTGTAAAAGTTGGTCGAATTCTTAAATTTCATGATCATGGGTTTAGTGGTTGGTGTGTAATTTGAATAATAGTAGTATTAATGGTTTTCCCTGTAGGCCTATGAATATCCTGTCACATACAGCACTGTACTTCAAGATGGATCTTGAAAAATTCTTTTTCATAATGAATGCAACACCACCATTCTTCAATTTTTGGTCCTGGCATAGTAAACCATATGATTGTTTGATTCAAAATGGCCAATACCAGTTCATTTCAGCTCATTAATGCCTAGGATATTTTGATTTTTATGTGTTCCATTTCATTTCTGACAACTTCCAATTTTCCTAGATTTATACTTCATGCATTCCACAATTCTGATTATTAATGGATGGTTGCAGCTGTTTCTTCTCGTTTTGAGTTGTGCCCCACCAGAAAATGAAGGTTCCCTAAAGCCTAACTCTGTCCATGTCATTAAGGTAACTCTATTTTAAGGAAGTGATGCTTCTCCAGTTATACTGAGTGCCTTCCAACCTGAGGGTCTCATCTTCTGGCACTATTATCTGACAATGATTCGGTCTCTGATTCATAAGGTTTCAAGTTGCTAACCATTCAGAAGTGGTCTGCCTCTCCTTGTTCCTAGTCTATCTAAGTCTGGAAGCTCCTCTGAAACCTGTCCACCATGGGTGACATTGCTGGTATTTAAAATACTGGTGGCATAGCTTCCCACATCACACCAACACAAACGTCACCATAGTACAACAAACTGACAGATGAGTGGTTAAAATACATTATTATTCTCTCTGAAATGCAGTATTAGAAATCACTATTAAAATACAATCTTTAAATAGGATAGCGACAATGGTGACTCAACATGAAAAGTGTACAAAAAATTCAAACAAAACAGAATTTAATGAAATCAGAGAACTTAAAACAAAGTATAGGTATCTACTGCTGTTGTTAAGTGCCATTAAGAGAGTTGCGACTCATATGTACCTAGTATAGGGTTTACAAGAAGCGACTGGTGATTCTGAACCACCGATGAGCTTGTGGTCAAACTGACCTTGCAGCCCAGTGCTTATCCTACAGCACCACACCAGGACTCCCCAGTATACAGATATCTATTCATATAATAATAACTGTTAGACTTTGGTGCAGGGCATAGGCATGTTGGTTGTACTAGTTTTTTGTACCTTTTCTATATTCTAAAATTTTCAAAATGAAATGCAGAGAAACAATAAATCACAACTATTCAATGCAAGTAGAAAAATAACAATAAAAACAAAAAAGCACCTCAAACATGAAGTTTTCAAAATTCATTGCATGTGAAATAAATTGTTGTCACATAACCTTTTTACACCGTCTTGTGAGAGCTGAGACTCAGAGAACCAAAATAAACATTGATATTCTGGCTATTCTTATTTCTAGGAGTATTCAAAACAAAACTATCCATTATCACTTACCATGCATGGTTCTGATGCATTCAAAGCCCTGAAAATCCCATAGTTTAATCGTCATATCTGCAGAACATGAAGCCAGAAGCTTGCCACTGTGGTCAAATGAAATATCCTGTACAGAGTCTGTATGCCCTTTAAGAGTTCTTTCAAAATCTCCAGTCTCGTAGTCCCAGACCTTTTAAGTGAACAGAAAACTGGTTAACATGATCTATCTCTCATTTTAACTTCACAGCTGTACTCAACATGTTACTCTTACAACTTATCAACTAATTAACTGAGCAAGTGACTGAGGATAAGAATCTTAGCTATATCTAATCTTCAAGTATATATTGGGTCTTTAAAAAAAACATGCTTTTAATTGAGAAAATGAATGTTGCACACCACAGTTATTAAACATGCACCACATACTTAACATTCTATGGTCATACCACCTTGAATGATCTCAGAAGCTAAGCAGGGTCGGGCCTGGTCAGTACTTGGATGGGAAACTGTCTAGGAATACCAGATGCTACAGGCTTTTAATTGAAGATAAAGTACTAGACCAAAAGATAGCTTTGAATCATAAGGTCGGCATTCAAACTCACCAGCTGCTCCTTGGAAACTCTACAAAGAGTTGCTCTGAGTTGGAACTAACTTGACAACACATAGCAACAAGAACAATATACCTAACCAGGAGTCCTGGTGTGACACTACAGGATAAGCAATGAACTGCTAACCATAAGGTTATGAACAGGAACCGACTCGAGGGGATTTAACATCATCATCATCAAGGATTAATACCCTAAGAAACACATCTCAAAAACCTACTAAACTTTTATTTTGGTAGTCAAATGCTAGTTGGGCGTTCAATCATTAACATTAATTCCATGCTTTAAAATCAAACTATTCCATCCATGATAAGTATAACTTGATATATGATAGACTGTATGCATACTGACCAATTTTAGGGAACTTAAAAAACTCATTTCGCAAATTGGAAAACAATCTAAACACTTTGGATTATGGGCATGATACTTATTATTGGTAAGGATTTTATGTAACTATTAAGGAACTCTGGTAGCGTAGTGGTTACGAATCGGGCTGCGAACCTGAAGGTCAGCAGTTTGAAACCACCAGCAGCTCCGTGGGAGAAAGATGAGGCTTTCTACTCCCGTAAAGATTTACACCCTCGGAAACCTTGTACAGGGTCGCTATGGGTTGGAACCGACTCGATGGCACTTAACAACAACAACATTAAGCATGTAACAGTTAAGTAAAAACAATAATTACACAATCTCAACAACCACAAAAACACACAAAAGAAAAACTATCCTTCAAAGATATTTTCTTTATAGAAAACTTACATACCCTTGCCAAATAAAATTTTACCATTTAGCTGTTTGAATACTTCTACATGGAAATACTTATTATGTGTTTAATTTTGCACATATTTTATTAGATTTACTCAAGTAATTCAGGATTTTCTTTTGATGCTACTGTAAAAGACATTTAAAATCTTTAATTTTAAATTATTTATTGCTCCCTGTTATTGTTACGTGCTGTGGAGTCAGTTCTGACTTAGAGCGACCCCATGTACAACAGAACAAAACACTGCACCATCATCACAACTGCATTTATTGCTACTTTATAGAAAATAATTGTTGTTCTTTTGCTTATATGTTCAAGATTAATAATGGTCTGAGATCTGATTGCAATATATGTCTTGTATTGGTAACTGTGGTATCTTAAATTTATATGACATGATTTTCTATCCAAGGTCCTCTCATTTCCCACCAAGTGGGAAATAAAGTATACAAGATTCTAAGGTTGGGATTGATTTTGCCATCCTGCTAGGTTTAAAAGGAGCCTTCTCAGAAGCAGGAACAGAAGGTTCCAGGGCCATCAAGAAGGAAGAACAGGAAATCTCTACCTAGAAAAATAGGACAGCAGAGGTGGTAGCAGGGAGAAACAGAGCAGCTGAGGGGTAGGCCCATGGAATGAGTGAAACTGCGTGCCTCTCCACAGGAGACTGGTGTAATGTGCCCTTTGGACATTGAGACTGGCTAAAAGAGCTTTCTAACATTTGTCTGAGCAGGGCAGAGGCCAAGGGGCCAGCCACATGGCTGAGAGGCCAAAGACAAGAGCGAGGCATATCTGCAGTATGGCAAATAAGAAGCATTCCTGATTGAAGAACTGCTACAGCCGGAGTTTTTCTGATGCTGAGTTGGACCCTGTTCATTTTCCTAATAAACCCCAAAATCATGAGTATTGTTATGAGTTCTGTGTCTCCACTGCAATGAATTATGAAACCCAGATGTGAAGTAGAGTGCTATGGGAGGGAGGGATGGTTGGTATCAGAATAGGGCAAAGAATGTTGCAGGGTGGAGGCAAGTCTGACCTTCACTTCATAGGAAAAGACCTTGGACCGATTTTGAGTTTGATTCTCTTTACCCCTTGTGAAGCAAGGGGAAGTCAGACATGGCTCCCACGTGATTTTTGCAGTAACAATGTTTAATTTTAACACCAAAAATTCAGATAAACATTTTATATATTGAAAACAAATAGGGTGAGATCTTCAAGTTCACTTCAAAGTTTTATGTAAGTTTCTTTCTAGCTCCTTCATGAAAATACCCCAAAGTATTTTCTCTAAAACTACTCGAAAAATAAAATGCGTTTGTTGAGTACACAGAGCATTTTGATATCAGCTTATCAACTTCAATGTTACTGTTAAAAATTTTTTCTCTACTTGATATTTATATTTTGTCTGAGTATAAAATAAATATTCATGATAGAAAAATATAAAATGTATTGACATAAGGGTGTAAAACTAAAAAAAAAAAAAAAAAATCGCACAAATAAAAGTTTATTTCTAAGCTTTTTTCCTTAAGCAGCAATTGTATATATATATATATATTTCATTAGTCTACATTTTGAACCTTGCTTCTTACAAGCATTTTTCTATGCTATTAAATATTTAGCAAACAATATTTTTTAAGACATTCCTGTTCTTGGCTAAAAATTTTCATTACCATTATAGTGAGCATCTTTGAATACTGAAAAATATTTGTCCCAATTTGTAACACTTAGGGTGAAAAATCATTGGGTCAAAATTGCTTTCCCAAAAGAGTGCAACAAACATAACTGATAAACCCTGCTTCATTAAACAAAGAGTACTGGGAGTTCTTAAGTAAAAGCAAAATTTCCAGGCAGATTTAACATATATTATAATTTTAAGTTGTATTTCTTCTCTATTTTTTTTATTTTTGTTAGATGCCATCGAGTCGGTACCGACTCATAGCAATTTTATGCACAAGAGAACAAAACATTGCCCGATCCTGGACCAACCTCACAACTGTTGCCACGCTTTAGCCCATTGATGCTGCCACTTTGCCAATCCATCTCTCTAGGGGCCTTCCTCTTTATCTCTGACCCTCCAAACTACCAAACATGATATCCTTTTCCAGCGAATGATCCCTACTAACAATATGTCCAAAGTATGAGAGATGAACTTTGGCCATCCTGGCCTCCAAAGAGCACTCTGGCTGTACTTCTTCCAACACAGATCTGTGGGTTCTTTTGGCAGTCCATGGCACCTTCAATATTCTCCTCCAACACCATAACTCAAATGTGTCAATTCTTCTACAGTCTTCCTTATTCACTGTCCAGCGTTTGCATGCATATATAATAAGGTTATTGAAAATATCATGGCTTGGGTCAGGTGCACCTTAGTCCTCAAGCTGACATGACATCTTTGCTCTTCAACACCTAATGCAATATGTCATCTGATTTCTTGACTGCTGCTTCCATGAGTGTTGATAGTTGATCCTAGAAGGATGAAGTCCTTGACAACTTCAATCTTTTCTCCATTGATAAGAATGTTGTTTATTGGTCCAGTGGTGAGGATTTTTGTTTTCTTTACACTGAGACACAATCCATACCGAAGGCTGTGCTCTTTAATCTTCATCAATAAATGTTTTAAGTCCTCTTCACTTTTAGCAAGCAAGGTTGTATCATCAGCATATTGCAGGTTGTTAATGAGTCTTCCTCCAATCCTGATGCCATGTTTTCCTTCATATAACCCAGCTTCTCAGATTATCTGCTCATCATACAGGTTGAAAAAGTATGGTGAAAGAATACAACCCTGTAGCACACCTTCCTTAATTTTAAACCATTTAATGTTTTTACCTTCTGTTCGAACAACTGCCTCTTCTTCCAGGTACAGATTCCTTATGAGCACAATTAAGTGTTCAGGAATACGCATACTTCGCAATGTTGTCTATAGTTTGTCAATATCCACACAATCGAAAGCCTTTGCATAGTCAATAAAGCACAGGTAAACATCTTTCTGGTATTCTCTGTTTTCAGCAAAGATCCATCAGACATCAGCAATGATATTCCTCGTTTCACATCCTCTTCTGAATTCGGCTTGAACCTCTGGAAGTTCTCTTGTCAACGTATGCTTGAAGCCGTTTCTGTATTACCTTTTGTAAAACTTTACTCGCATGGGATATCAAAGAGATTGTCTGATGATTTCCGCATTCTGTTGGGTCACTTCTCATTGGAATGGGCACAAATACGGATCTCTTCCAATCAGTTGGTCAGATAGTTGTCTTCCAAATTTCTTGGCAGAGATGAGTGAGTGTCTCCTGTGCCACCTCACTTTCTTGAAAGATTTCAATTTTTACTCCATCAATTCCTGGTACCTTGCTCTTTGCCAATTCCTTCTGTGCACCTTGGACTTCCACCTTCAGTATCATTGGCTCTTGATCATATGCTACCTCTTGAAATGGTTGAACATCAACCACTTCCTTTTGGTATAGTGACTCTGTGTATTCCTTCCATCTTCTCTTGATGCTTTCTGCATTCAATCATCATTCAATAATTTGCCCAGAGAATCTTTCAATAACGAAAGTCGAGGCTTGAATTTTTTCTTCAGTTCCACCAGCTTGAGAAATGCTGAGTGTGTTCCTTTTTGGTTTTCTGGTTCCAGATCTTTGCACATTTTATTGCAATATTTGGCTTTATCTTCTCGAGCTGATCTTTGAAATTTTCTGTTCAGCTACTGTATATCCTCATTTCTTCCATTTGCTTTAGCATCTCTATGCTGGAGAGCAAGTTTCAGCGTCTCTTCTGACATCCATTTTGACCTTTTCCTTTTGTCTTATTTGCTTAATGACTTTTTACTTTCTTCATGTATGATGTTCTCGATGTCATCCCACAACTCTTTTGGTCTGTTCTTCAGATGATCCCTAAATTCAGGTAGGATATATTCAAGGTCATATTTTGGACCTCATGGACTTGTTTTCATTTTCTTCAGCTTTAGTTTGAATTTGCACATGAGTAATTGATGGTCTGTTCCAGTCTACCCCTGCCCTTGTTTTCCCTGATGATATGGAGCTTTTTCATCGTATCTTTCCACTGATGTAGTCAATTTGAATTCAATGTATTGCATCTGGCGCGGTCTATGTGTATAATCGTCTCTTATGCTGTCTAAGGAAGGTATTTGAAATGAACAAATCACTGATTTTGCAGAATTCTATCATGCATTCTCCAGCATCATTTCTATCACCATGGCCATATTTTCCAACTACTGTTCCTTCCTCTTTGTTCCCAACCTTTGCATTCCAATCACCAGTAATAATCAATACATCTTGATTGCATGTTTGATCAATTTCAGCTTGAAGAAGTTGGTAGAATTCTTCTATTTCATGCTCACTGGCTTTAGTGGCTGGTGCGTAAATCTGAATTATAGTGGTATTAACTGGGCTTCACTGTAGGCACATGGATATTATCCTATCACAGACAACATTGTACCTCATGATTGATCTGGATTATGTTCTTTTTGACAATGAATCCAACATCATTCCTCTTCACTTTGTCATTTCCGGCATAGTAAATGTGGTCGTCAGATTCAAAATAGCCAATACCAATCCATTTCAGCTCACTAATACCTAAGATATTGATGTTTATGCATTCCATTTCATTTTCAACAGCTTTCAATAACAAGATAAATAGATTTAAATAATTCCATTCTTCCTCCCATATCCATTCAGCCAGTGTCTCAGTCCTACCTACCTACAGAACATTGTTGTTCCAAGGTTGTGTATATAGCACTATTTACCTCTCTATCCCCTTTAACTTCCCTGTGTCTTCACCTTTCCTCTGCTAACTTCCCTCTTCTTGTATATATCCCTTCCTGTCACCCGAGTTCCCGTGGTCTATCCTTTAAGGCTTTCTGCTCCCATGAAATTTACAGCCTCGGAAACCCTGTACAGAGTCGCTAGTAGTCAGAGCCAACTCCACGGCAAATAACAAAAACAACCTGTTAGCCAGTGAATTACTCTCTCCCTTCCCTCCCACCATCAAAGAATTTTTATTTTAGTATGAACATCTAAACCTTTTCTTGATGTTTTACGATAGTGATTGACTAATTTGAATCCAAAAAATGGCCTCCAGGTTCACCTAATGTTATAAGGTGTTTAGCAGATTCATCACTATTCTTCACGGTATACTGTTGTATGTATGTACTAGAGTTTATTTATCCATTCTTCCATTGATGGGCATTTAGGCATCTCCATCGTTTTGCTACTGTGAATAATGCTGCAATGTATCTATTTGTGTTCTCTTTATTTTTTTTGGAAATATACCAAGTAGAAGGATTGCTGGATCATTCAGTATTTCTATTTCCACCTTTCTGAAGACACGCTATACCATTTTCCACAGTGGCTGAACCATTTTAGTCCTACGTGTGGTGCAGTAGGATAAGGACTCGACTGTAAGGTCGGTTTGAACCTCAACGTTGGCAGTTCAAACCTATCAGCCACTCCTCAGAAACCCTATACGGGCTCATTGTGAGACAGAACCGACTAGACAGCACGTAACAAGAACCAGCAACATAGAAGAGTCCCTTCTCTCCACATTCTCACCAGCATTTGTTGACCCCCCATGAGATGGGCTGGCAAAATGGCAGCATTAATGGGCTCAAGTATGGCAACGACTGTAAGGATGGTCCAGGACCGGGCACTGTTTCCTTCAGTTGTGCATAGGGTCGCTGAGTTGGAACCGACTCAATGGCACCTAACAACAACAATGGCTCACAATTATGAACATTTCTTCATAGCTTTGTTGGCTGCCTGAATGTCTTCCTTAGTGAAGTGTCTTATCAATGTTCTGTGTCCATTTTTTAAATTGGATTGTTTGTATTTTTCTTGTAGAGGTGCTATAGTTTTCTATTTTTTAGTTTTAGACATTAATTTTTGTTTTTTATTTTAATTTTAGAGATTAGTCCTTTAACTGGTAAGTTGTTGCAAATGGAATCACTTTTTACTCTTTTGGCTAATATTTTGATGCATATAAAGTGCCTAAAAAATTCCAGTGTTTTAAAGTATCAGTTTCCCAAAAACTTTCTGAAGGTTCCCTAGTATAACCTACCTACAGTTTCTTAGTTACACATCCCACTAATGAAACAGTCAAGAATTTAATCTGTAATAATCCTAAATAGAAAAAAATCTACCTAAACCTTTCAACTATCTGCAGGTGATTTACACAACTGCCATTCTATTGTATTTGTATGACAGACAAGTAAAAATAACATTTATGGTTAAAATGAAAAAAAAAAAAAAAATTAAAATGTAATTTTTGCTTCTAGTGCAAAATTCAAACATGAAATATATAATTTGAAAAGCTCTTACATTCTCACACCCCTGGAGAAAACTGTTTAGTTTAAAATTAAAGTCAATATTAACTGTATCAATAACAGTTCAATTTAAACAAGTCCTCAAAATCAAATCCTTTTGTAGAATATTTTCATGTCCTGAACTAATAATTCTATAAACCTGTATTTTCATATATAATCCATGCTTAAAAGTAAGGCACACGATAGGATGAATATAAAACTAATGTTCTCCCACATACTTTACCTTCATTCTCCAAGAACAAAAACTATTCAAGAACATGGTGACCTACTGCCCAACACTAAATTAGTAACACTGCATTTTCTCAAATTCATCAGTGAACTTATTTGGCAGAACGTCTCTGAAGACCTACAATGAAATTTGATTTTGATTCTGTCTTTTAAGGCTTAGAATCAACCACTTAAATAGTTTTAAAAAATCTCTCTTGTCCCTCTGCTTATGTCCTCATTTTTAGGATCTTTTTATTTCTTTCACTCAGTTAACATGAAGTCAACTTGTAACAATTACCCTTTTACACATCTTTCAATTTTGAAAAAACAACAACAAAAAAACACAAACAAAACTACCTTAATTGTAGCATCTTCTGAAGCAGAGACCATAACACTGAACACAGGATGGAAAATGACTCGAGTGACTGGACTCCTATGACCACTCAAGGCGTATTTTTCTGGTGGACGGGGAATCCATTCTTTTGGGTCTCGTTTCTGACCAAGGGGTCCACCTGACGTAAATTCTTCTTTTGCTTCATTTAGCTTTGATTCTAGTTCCATAACCTTGAGAAGAAATGTGCAGGTATTTATAGGATTCTGATAAAATAGCATATCTGATATCATTTTTAAAAATGACTTTTATTTTGTACGTATATATGCAAGATACATGAAAACATTTGAGTAATTTTCAAAGCAACGGCCAGATCTAATTGAAAATCTAAGTTTATTAAATACCACCAAAATATCTTAATGGTGTAACAAAACTAAAAATTGAAAAATATTCATTGAAATTGTGTCTTAAATATAAGGCAAGGAAAGTTTTTTAAAATTTTCTGGTCATTACAGTGTCTTCTACTAACTTAGAGGATGAGAAGTATTGAGTTTAGGCCTGAAATATTATTTACTGCATTCACTTTGCATATATGAGTTAGGCTGATGTTATTCATAATTAATTATCTGCCTAGGTCAAAGTTTTCATAATACATACACAATATTTTTTATTTTGAATGATCTTTTTAAGATTAAATATAATTTATATTTAAAGTTTATATTAATATAATCAGAACATTTATGAGAACACATTGAGTACAACTAACTTTAAAGAAAAAAATACTGTTACCTTTTTTTGTAATCTAATAACTGATGTCCATTTTTTTTCCAAAAGACCAGCATATTTCTTATCTAATTCTTCATTCTAGGGAGCAAAGTGAGAACCATTTAAATGCTATGATAGTATTCACTTCTAAGCACAAAGATTACTTGAAATATGACTACAGAAAAAATATGGAGCATAAATAAAATTCAATGACAAGTAAAACACTGTAACAAATAACAAGTTTTGTGAGTTGACTGTTAATTATTACTACTTGAATAAAATCCACTATGAACACGTAGTTAGAAAATCAAACATACCATATCTAATTCAGCTTCCTTTTTAAAAACAGAATATGCCTCTTCATAGCCATTTGAACGAAGATAATCTGCTATAGCGCGATTACTGAAAAAAAGCAAATCAAATTATTACAGACATCTCATTTCCAATTTGAAGAATAATTTTAAATCTCTTATGTTTTAAAGACACACTTTTGAGAGAAGTTCCTTCTAAACCAAACATATTACAAAAAAAGAAGCCAAAAACCAAAACTCCTAGAATATTTAGCCATCATCACAGTATATCTATATTATTCTTGAACTTTTAAAGTAACTAAGTTTCTAATGTGCTAGGTACAAGTGTAGGCATTCTATAGATCAAGATAAAAGTTTTAAAATAATTAGGTATCAATGTGCTACAGTGATCACCAATTTTGCCACCTTTTATTGCTTACAACTTGTTATGCTAATATATACTTCAAGGACTGGCAAATTAATTTCTCAGAAAAATGTCTTAACAAAGAATTAATCAGTATTTTTATAACAGCGATAACTTTAAAACTTTTTTTTTTTTTAAAGGACACAAATTTGCTATAAAATATAGAATGGCATTCATTTTGAATTAAAAGGAACTCCAAGGTTAGAGAAGCTGAATTAATAGATGCCTTTTCATGCTTGCCTTTATATTCTTTCAGAGAAGGGAACACTGGCTACCCTACTTTAGGCAACTAACTCCAATGTCTCAATATTTTTTAACCTAAACTCTTACTAAGATAAAGATAGTTGTTCACTTGGAATTTCCTTAAAATAAATAAATTAATTATAATTCAAAAGTTAATATATGATAGTTGTTCACATGGAATTTCCTTAAAATAAATAAATTAATTATAATTCAAAAGTTAATATATGATAGTTGTTCACATGGAATTTCCTTAAAATAAATAAATTAATTATAATTCAAAAGTTAATATATGAAAATGGTTCTGCAAAATTTGAATATATAACAAGTATACAACAAAGCTCCATCATCAAACCCCACTATTCTATCCCTGAAGCAACCAATCACTTGTATTCTTTCAGAGACAATCTATCAATGTACAAATATAGTCTATACAATCACTTGTTTCTGAAATAAAAACAATTTAAATAATTTTAGCTATTATTCTTTATCAGCAGATATAGTTTTTGAAACTACCCTATTCCATCATAGGAAACTATCATATTCCATCATAGTAGAGATATTTCTTCCTACAAGCAATGTTGCCATATAAACATCAATGCCACTGCCTACTCAATGATTCTGGGAAATAAAAATACACTTTAGCAGTATTGTAGAATTGGTGTGGTTAAGTTTTAATTCAATAGCATGTTAAAAAATAATAATGATAAAAAAATAAAAGCAGAAGACAGTTAATAAAGAATTAAAAGATTTTTTGTTCCAGGTAACTGTTAGAATGCTATTTAGTATATTAAGATCTTTGGAGTCCTGGTGTGGCACTATGGGTTAATGTACTGTATTGCAAAGTCAGTTTAAACTGCAAGGTCGGTAGTTCAAGCTCACTAGCCACTCCTTGGAAATCCTATACAGGGGTCACTATAAGTCGGAACTGACTCGAAAGTACTTAGTAACAATTAATCCTATTTGGGTGTTCCAACACAAAACAAAATAAGGTGACAATAGCTCCCTCATAATATCCCAGCAAGTATTTTTGTGTTAGCAAAACCTTCATGACAAAACTGCAACAAAAATAAAGTTCACTTTGGTTGGCATTTTCTAATAATACGGGAAACAAAGAAGCTAAAAAGACAGTTATTTCTTAGTTTTCCTCTCTTTTTATTATAAAAAACAAAGAGCAAATAAAGAGGAAAATGTAAAACACTTTGTTGAATGCACTGCACAATTTATAACACTGAAGCTCAAACAACTAAGAATATGTAAAATCGTAACTGTTACCATCTTATTGAGTCCTCTGGTGGTGCCATGTTAAGTACTTTAACCTGTTACTTTTTATTCAACATATTGTGAAAATCTTTCCTTGTCAATAAATGTTCTTTTACAATATTATTAATCCTCAAACAATATTCCATTATAAAGTAGCAGAAAATTTTACTTAAGCTATTAATAATATTGGACTCCTGGTGTGGTACTGTAGGATCAGCATTGGGCTTCAAACTACAAAGTCGGTGATTCAAACCCATCAGCTGCTCCTTGGAAACCCTACACAGGGTTGCTGTGAGTCGGAAATGACTCAATGGAGGTTAACAACATCAATATTAAGCTTTAATCTATTGCTCAATTTCAGGCTGTTTCTATTTTTCACAATTTTAGACAATATTGCCAACAAACATCCATATAATGCCTTTCTCTCACATCTTTATATCTGAGTCTAAAAAGATCCATATATTAGCACACTTTCATAGCTCAGGAGGATGACTCTCAATGAGCTGGCATAGCAACAATGGAACTAAACATAACAACTTTGTGGGTGCTGCAGGAACAGGCAGCATTTTGTTCTGTTGTTCACAATTCCATGACACCTAATGCTTCTCAAAATGCTCCCCAGAAAAGTTGTACCAACTGATACTCAGACCAGCAATTATGAATATCCTTGTATACTTTTACTCTTCAAATACCTGGATTAACATTTATTTACTGCCTTTAAAAGAGGAGATAGTGAGATTTTATATCCTCAAACTTTGCTGATAAAACTTTTGTAACAGATTAGATATTAAACTTTTAAACTTCTGCAACATATTAAAATTCTATGTGGCTTAACCCAACACAATTTAAAAAAAGACCTATGAATCAAGTATGATTAATTAGAATGATATAGATAAATCCAAATGTGCATAAAATAGTTATATTTTACATTTACACATTTAATATAATTCTAAATCCTGTGTGTGTGTATATGTGTGAGAACCAACATTCACTGTCTCATTTGACTGTAACACCATTCTGTTAAATTACTAGAGTGTATTACTACTCCCAATATTACATTCTGGCAGACAGACTTATCTAAGGCCATCTAGCTAACATAAGCATCCATCAGCTGTGGTGGCTATGCCACAGATACTTCAAATACCAACAGAGTCAGGGTAGGCAGGTTGCAGCAGAGCTTCCAGACTAAGACAAACAGGAAAAAAGTGTCTGGCGCTCTACTTCCAAACACTTGCCAATGATGTTCTTATGGATCAAAGCTGAACACTGTCTGACTTTGCTTGCTTTGGACATAATCAGAAGAGATCTGCTACAGGAAAGAGTTTGGTGAAGCAGAGGCTCAATGATGGTAAAAGATCCTTGGTGAAATGGATTGGCACAAAAAGCCATAGAGATGGACATGAACAGGCCAGCTATTGTGAGAATGCAGGACTGGGCAACCTTTCATTCTGTTGCCATGAGTTGGAGTTAGAACTTTTCATTGTTCTTCTATCCCCAAGGGATAACTTTCAATGCTGTACCATCAGTTATAATACATTCCAATCACTATCCATATACATATTCACACTCTTAAAAAAGAAAGGACTAATATAAAAAAATGTATAGAAAGCTGTAACATCTCTACAATAAAAAGACAAACCCAATTGAAAAATGGTCACAGAACTTCACCATGGAAGACTATCAGGCAGTCAACAAAACATGAAGAAATGTTCACAATCATTAGCCATTAGAGAGAGATGCAAATCAAAACAACAACCTCACACCAATATTAACAGTGAAATTTAACAAAACAAAAACCAGAAAACAAATGTTGGCAAGGGTGTGGAGAGATTGGGACCCTTCTACATTGTTGGTGGGACTGTAAAATGGTTCAACAACTCTGGAGAACTGTATAGTGCTTCCTCAGAAAGTTGGAAATAGAAATACCTTGTTGTTGTTGTTATGCGTTGTGGAGTCAGTTCCAACTCATAGCCACCCTGAATAGGGTGTCTGAGGCTATAAATCTTTACTGGAGCAGAACGCCTCATCTTTCTCCTGTGGAACAGCTGGTAGTTTCGAACTGCTGACTTTAAGGTTCACATTACCTTAAGGTTTGCAGCCCGATCTGTAACCACTACGCTACCTTAGCTCTGCTTAGTATATATCCTCAAGAAATATGGGCCAGGACCTGATACACACCAACGTACATCCCAGCACTATTCACAATAGCAAAATGATGGACATAGCCTACGTGTCCATCAATAGACAAATGGATAAACAAACTCTGGAACATACATAATGGAATACTATACAACCTTGAGTAATAGCAATGACTCTGCAAAATGCCTCATAACATGGATGAATCTTGAGGACATTATGTGAGTGAAATTAGTCAATCAAAAAAGGATAAATATTGCATGAGATCATTATTGTAAAAGCTAAGAAAACATTTCCATAGTAAAAGAAACATTCTTTGATGGTTAAAAGGGGTGGGAGGGAGGGGAATTTAATTCACCAATTACAGGGTAGACACATGTTAGCTCCAGTGACAGGGAGGGCAATACAAAAGAAGAGGGAGGGTGGCAGATGAACAATGAAAACAGGTGACAAGTTAGGGCGCTATGCTTGGGCTAATGGGATAGAGGTAAATAGTGATTTATACACAATCTTGGAACAACAGTGTTCTATGATTCAGGGATTGAGATATCATCTGAATGGGTAAAGGAGGGGAAAAACTGTTTAGATGCTGGACTGTCTTGTGTATATTGTTTTTCCCTGCCTACTATTGTAAAACAGACATTTAAGGGTGATAGAAATGAATATTGGAAATTACAATTACAGAAAATTTGTAAACCCGTCTTCAGCCTTAACTGACTGGATTAACTAAAAGGGGAGTCAGAATTTGCTCAGGGAAATAGTTTTCTTGTTAAGCCTTGTGGAGTATGGGGCCTTAGGTGGAATCCTGAGCCCCACCAAGAACTTTCTGAGGTGGAACATTCCCACTTGAAAAGCCATGCAGACCAACCCAGAAAGACTGGGAGAACAGAAGATTCTTACTGAAAAACAAAAAAAAAACAGCAGAAAAAAAGCATACTGTTTGGCAGTTAGAATAAGTATCAAACAAGCTGTTTGCTTTGGAGGAATCAAAGCAAGAAGTCAGTCCATCAGAGAAAACCCCCTTCTAAGACTAAAACTCTAAAGGAACC